GTTCTTGAACGTCATTATTGGTACGACAGTACTGCGGCAGGACCGAGGTGCTTGCGCCAAGGTCCGTACGCCTGTACTGGAGTACCAATAATGACGTTCAAGAACGGCCTCAAGTGTATGATTGCGATTCTATTACACAAACTATCATTGTAATCAACAATATCGTAAAATAATTTCATAATGTGGCCTAATTTGCTCCCAAACCTACGCTTTCTGCTTGAGTTCATCTGCGTCAGAAAGTAGTTCCCATGGTAACGATAGCCGATCAAACAATCCTGCTACCCCGCTTACAGTTATTGATATAATTATGGAAACCACACGATGTAGGCTCATGGAAGTAGTTTCGGTAGGCTAGTGGCGTGTGTAGGCCACTTGATACTTTGTGATTAGGCACGTTCTATTTGATCGTTGTTTGATCGTGGAATCAAACACGCCTATTGACCAATCAGAGAGCTTGCTCAAACCTATGTGTTATAGAATTCATAATTGAATGTTCAAATAACACATTATTTTTGTCGTTCTGTCCGTCTAAATATACCTGTCTCAAACACACTTTGTTAGAGCCTGTCTCTTTAAGACCCTGCCCCCTGAAAGAGGCCAGTCTTTGTTGATTAGCTTACAAGAAAAATATGGCCAAATTCCAAATGTACTTTTCATGTCATGGGTGGAGAAAGATCGGGGGAGTCATTTTGTAGTAAATCTGTATACAGTATGACAGCCAGAAAACATGGGATTCAACAATTGAAAGAAACAAAACTGAGGCAGCCAGACAAAAAAACACACTTGCCGTATTCAAGATACCCCTTTTGTATAAACACAAACACGGTAAATGTATGCAGTGAAATGGGGGTGGAGACAGGGCATAAGATCGTCATGAGTGATGCAAGTAACATATTGATGTGTGTTAGTGCTCACCTGATTCTTTCTCAGGAGATTGCTGATTGTCAATTTCAACAGATTCATCAGGTTCAAAGCCCTGGTTCACTGAAAGACAGACATTGGCTCCATTATTTTTGTTGTAGTTAAATCAATAATATACAAATATAACATTGTATTAAAGCATGCAGACAACATTTGAAGTAATAACAGGGTCTGGATTTCTAACCTTCAACATCAAAATGGTCTGAGATATCCAAACCGTCCATCATCCTCAGGATACACAGACCGTAGTTTGAGTCAAAGGTATCGCTAGTAATAGAGGAAGAGAGAGTGAAAATTGTAGTTTTAAATTATAAACAGTTATCAGCGATCTTTACCTATAACTATAAAGACTATTATAGATTAGCAATGTGCACGTTTTCCTCACTTCAGTCTGCCAAGGAGATCAATACAGTTTATTTTTTATTTTATTTAACTACACTTACTATATTGTGTTGATATAATCTTCAATACTTTCCGGAGAACTGTCCCTCCAGTTTGCCTTGAAGCCCAGGACCAGAGTGTTGGGCTTCAACTTGCCAAGACCAGAAGCCTCGACAAAAAATTAAGAATATTTTTAAGTTTCAGGTTTTATAAAAAAACAAATGTAAACACCTCTTATGTAGGTTGTCACAGATTGAACAAATACTCTAATGGAAGTAACATTTAGCTGTCAATACATAACGTGTCCTAAGAATCAAATAAGAGCATAAATGAGTGTAAAGACAGAATTGCGAGGATGAACTTATTGACATCTTAAAAAAACTGTATCTGAAGCCAGTTCAAGTCTGTATGATTGAGGCTGTAGTTACTTCCAATGAACACTTCTCAAATGATTTACCTGCAGCAGATGTCGAGCTCCAACTCTAAGGCTGTCGGCAGTGAAAGGTGTGTAAAATGAGCGCACCTTTCTCTTGTTCAGCCACTTTACCAACCAATCAGTGGTATCCTGAGGCTGAGCCTGCCTGTCCTGCTCCTAGGGGATTTGGGAATACAATAGTGTCTTTAAATGACATAGGGATTTAATGTAAGCTGTAAAAGCATGACCAGTAGGATACATTAGATTTAAAGCTAATAAGGATGATGAGGATTTGATAGTTTCTTTACCAAAAGGATATACATAATTTCTCTTATTTTCCTTTCAGAAAACACAACAGATTAAATGACTAACCATGACTATGTCTCCACAGATCATGAGGCTTATGTGCTTGGTGAAGGAGCCAACAAAGTCCACCAGGGCTGGACGCTGGTTTGGTGGCCCAGTCAGGACGAGACATTGCGGTCTAAGAAAAAAACAAAAAAAAAACATTGAACAGATTAAACTAAATTTCTCTTCTACTAAATTTGACATTGCAGTTTAATCCTATGAAGAAGACAATACTATAGAGAGAAGTATGTATGGTGCCATTAGATCGGAGGAATATTAATACATAACCTTTTACCTAAAATTCTTGACATGGTCGTCGACACCAGACAGGGAGACTGAGTACGACAAAGCCATGTTGTATGTACCTGCCTGGACTGACGAACCCCAGTTCACCTCTGTGGATATCGAAACGCAATCAAGTGAGGACAATTTGCAAGTAAAAAAATAATGCAGTTGTTTTGTTCTTTTTTATTCTTATTAGCACATAGTTGAGTAATAATAACTTAAATGTATAGAGCGCCTTTCAGGGGACCCAAAGAATAACAAAACATACACTTTTTAGACTTACTTGGCTTGTTGTAGTTGACATATCCAAAGAGAAAGAAGATGATGCAGAAGGTGAAGAGGGCAGCCCACCAGGTGAACAGGAACATCAACACAATAGAAATCACTGCTCCAAAAAGAGCTGTCCATTTACTGTAGTAGTGAAATGACGGCCTCCAACCTAGAGGGCGGCAACAATGAGTGGAATATAACATTACCTTTAATTGTTCATAGCCACCCCTTGGGTGGTCCAGTATGGCAACCATAGAGCAAAGGGCCTCTCTTGTCATTTAATAACTATGCTTATAAGAATACACGTTGAAAAATCTTGTGAAGTAATATTTCTTAAATCCATATTACTAATAATATTTTATACTTCTAAGGGAGAGATTTTTGTTTAAGTTTTACTGTCAGTACTATGTTGATGAGATTGAGTATTTTATAAATTGGCTTAAGGTTAGGTCGTCAAAGTGTTGGACTCTGATGAAAGGGGCTGCTGTTTGTTTAACGTTACCCACAGACAGTCAATGTTGGTTTGAAAAGCTACCACTGCAATGTATACATATACTATAGGGGTCATTTTGGAAATGCAAAGACAAACAGGTAACTCACCAGGGGAGTTGGTGATTGAAGCGTGAAAGCAGCTGAAGTTGATGAGGCCGTAGGAACACAGGAAGAAATTGGAGATCAAGGCTGCAATGGTGTTAAGGTCAGCTGTGACGAAAGACGCAAGAATAAAAAAAATGCATTACAAATTCAGAGCTACATAGAGGTAATCGCACTGACAGTAGTGTCACTATTAACAATCTAATCAATCAATTATTGCGTATAAAACTAGGAAAAATGTGAATCAAATATTCCAATATTGAAAATCGCAACAGAATAAGATCACACTCACCGATGAGAATGAAAGCCACAGCAATGACGTAGCAGAGTAAGTAGGCCCGGATTGGCTCATTATTTTTCCCATAGCCCTTTGCAAAGAATCCAATGTACGGGTATAGGTTGTCTTTGCATAGACACTGGCAGATAGGGAAGAACATAGAAGCTTTTAAATATGTGCACCATGTTAGATTTTATTAGATTTATACAAATGTTAGCATGGATATTAAATATGTAAAGGAATGTTTTTGATTTGCATTCTTGCCTTATTAAAAATATAACTTTACCAGACTGCCAGTACCAGAAACGCTACATATATAACGATCGTGTTAATATGGGCATCAGATTTAAATCATGTAATATAAGAGTAATACCTGTATATTATAGTAATATACAGGTCAAAGGCAGCATGAACATATTTATCTTTTAAAAATTAAATTGTATATTAATAATTGTTGATTGCATTTTTTGAATAAAAGAATATATGTTTGTTAAAAAAGTACAGTTTAGAATAATGGCTGCAGTTTCTCACCTGAAAGATTTTAGGGCCGGAGACGAGGAAGCCAAGGGCAGAAGACAAGCTGGCTGCAAAGACACCAGCCGTGATGAGGTAGAAGAAACCTGAAACTTGGCCCAGTACCTGGTTGGGATACTCATTATTAGGAATCATAAAATGGTTTGTTAACAGAAATTATAAACAAAAAATATTTAAAGGCTAATTTTGACAAACCCAGTGAAATCATTGGATAAATAAAATATGTTATAATATTTTTCTAATCAAAAGTAAGCTGGATTGAGTAGTACCTGTAAATTGTTGGCCAGACCATATTTACAAGACTGTGACTCGATGCAGTCTGTGAAGTTCCAGCCCATATTACATCCCAGACCAACACAGCCTTCAGTGATGTTTCCAGTGATAATGTCACTTACATTACCAGAGGCGTCCCGCACCACACATGACCCTAGAGAAGTATGAGATTGAAAGTCATGATGTAATTTATGACAGGCAACTTGTTTTTTTCTAAAATTACCCAAGATGAGTTGGCTGCCAAGAAGGGGACAAATACATTATCCTCTTCATCACTATTACTGTACATAGTTAGATTTTCTGACAACATTGCTTGAAACACCCTAGTTTTCAGTAGCCTGCTCTCCTGACTAAAAAATAAAAAGTGCTTAACAGTTTTCTGACATTATAGCAAATCACAATAACAAAAACAGAGAAAGGCAACCCTTTTGAAACCATCAACAATTTCACGATCCAGTCGTAAGCTGATGACCCTGCCCTTTCTATTGGTGATACATTCTCAGGTCAGAAGATATCCCCACCAGCTCAGATGATTAAACCAATCAAATGACAGTATATACAAATATAAAGGATGTTAGTATTATTAGCTTACCAACAGTTACAGTGATAATTAGATAGCTCAATGTAGTCCAGAAAATGGCCACGAGAGTGCCTTTAGGGATAGCAGTAGCAGGGTCCTGCAATAGAAAAATCATAAACAAATCATCGTTCTTGTTGTCTTTTATGGTGGCAGTGATGTCAAAATAAACTGTGCCTTCATTCTCTTCATACTTTGAGGTCTCCGGAGATGTTGGCGCCAGACAGGATGCCGATGGTGGAGGGAAAGAAAATGGCAAACATCTGGAAAAAGTTGCCTTCAGGTCCTCTCCAGTCAGGTTTCAAGTTCGAAATTAAGATATCACCTAGTGACATGCCAACAATGAACTTAAATCTGAATATCATATATAAGACAGTCGTTTTTCTAAGAGAAGCCTAGACTCACTGTGATAACCAAAGAAGCCCTGGGCCTGTTTCTCTGGGGCGGGTGGAATAAATGTACCCACAAAGTAGTTGGCAAACGAGACCAAGAGAACTAAAAAGAACAAAATCTGGGCCTGGGAGAGAAAGAGAGATTAGTGTAAAAAAGGAAAAGCTTAATAAAGAGATAAAGTTCATGAGAGAAAATGAACTCTATAGGACAAATGGAGCAGGTAAATATAAGTGTCAAGATGCACTTACCTTGGACTCCCACTCCATTCCAGCAAATGAGATGAGCAAAAGAATAGTCAGTGTGATCACGCCCACAATACGGACGTCGTTGATTGCATCAACTATGACGACATCGAACTCCTAAAACCAAATTATTTGTACAAAGAAATATAAATCGATCTATGAAGAAGAACTTTTGGGCAATTAACCCTCCTGTTGTTTTCTCCCCATACTTTGGTGTTTGCGGTCAAATTTGACCGGTCCTGTTTTAACTGCTATTACATTAACACAAAAACCATTAATCATCACCAAATTTCATTTAACCCCCTTTCAAACTCTACATATTGTATCAGACTACTGGTATACATGAACAACTGCAGAAAATATACAAAGAATAGACACTGAACATGTATTGCGTGTGCCAGGTGTGATCCATGTGGGGGGATGGGCACATAAGAGCTGGAAATGTATCAAATTGTTCTGTGTGTGTGTGTGTGTGTGTGTGTGTGTGTGTGTGTGTGTGTGTGTGTGTGTGTGTGTGTGTGTGTGTGTGTGTGTGTGTGTGTGTGTGTGTGTGTGTGTGTGTGTGTGTTTTATCTGATCCGGATGGTTACTAATTCCTTTTCTTTATGGTGGTCATCTTTGACCGGGAACACCATGGGTGTTACAAAGTTGACTAAATCATCCAATCAAATGTAAAACAAAAAAGTTAGGAAATCTTACATCTGTGGGGGTCGCTAATACATTACCAACAAGCATTATTTTAATCCCAAATAATGCATGTGTCAATGTAATGAGTATTATTTACGTTAACGAGGTAAATAGGCTTTATTTATGCCTGTGAGCGTGCTGCGCAAGCCGAGATGATGTGTTATGTGGTGTGCGTAGTTGAACCTTTTCATATTTAAGTTTGTAGCAAGTAGAGGGCTGCTGTGTGTGTNCAAGCACGTCGGTCCTGCCGCAGTACTGTCGTACCAATAATGACGTTCAAGAACAGCCTCAAGTGTAACAATGATAGTTTTTGTAATAGAATCGCAATCATACACTTGAGGCTGTTCTTGAACGTCATTATTGGTACGACAGTACTGCGGCAGGACCGACGTGCTTGCGCCGAGGTCCGTATGCAAGAACGGCCTCTCGTGTATGATTGCTTAATTGTTTTTCTAGTAAGAACACAAATAGAACTTGAAAATGACCATGAAGG